ACCAAATGTCAACAAAATTAAAAGTTGGTATGGCTATAGTAATATCATATAAAGTAGGTCTAAGGCCAAAAGAATAATCAAAGTAAGTCAAAGGCCAAAAGAATGGTTAAGGGTAAAAGGCATCATTGCATAGAGATAGGTAGAACAATCAACAGAAAGATATAAAAATCTAAACTTGTGGAATAATAACAGAGCCTGAACATATATAAACAAAAATTGTCAAATACATAAGGAGAAGTTGACAAATTCACAATGGTGGTGGGAGATTTTAATATATTTCTCTCATAAATAATAGAGCAAACAGACAAAAAAATATTAAGGATATAGAAGATTGAAATACACAACAAGCTCAGTTGACTGAACATGAGAGAACTCTGCACCTCAAAATCAATGAACACCATTCTTCCCAAGGCCACTGGAGCATTTGTAAAAATTGGTCATGTATCAGGTCATAAGGCGAGACTCAACACAAATAGAAGAATCCATTTTGTTCAGACTATTCTTTGGATGGAGTAGATATCACTCACACTCCTCCTATTGGCAAAACCCTTTCAATTGTACCTTTTTGGTGTCTCCTAAAATCCTCCTCCTCAGTCCCACTGTGGCTGCTTTCGTTCAGACGTAGCACCTTCTCTCACCTGGGCTGCTGAGTTAGGCAGCAGTGGTCCCCTTCTCCAACACGGCTCCCTTTCAATCCCCTTGGACCCTGCTGCCTGTGGCCTTTTAACACATGAATCTGACCGTCCGTCTCCTGCTAACGATCTCTGACTGTGTCCGTGGGCTCCCGGCCACCGTCAGGGTACGTATAAAACCCAGACCCCATCATGACGTAGGAGGCTTTCGTCATCTGCTCCTTGCCTAACCCCGTTGCCTTTTCTCTTACTGACCTGTTTTTCTTCTCATCCCCCCCACAGCCTCATACCAGCAGCATTCTTTCTCTCTCCCTTCCTCCACCCTTCACCCATGGCCTGGCTAAGTCATACTCACCCTTCAAAAATGTATCTCCGATATGCTCTCCTCCAGAAAGCCTGCCTGACACATCCCCCAGTCTAACCTCCCTACTCTCCCTCCACACCACACGTACTAGTGTAGATGAGAGGATTCCCTTATGCATCCATAGCCACACTGTATTTACTCTCATATAGCACTGGGTGCAAAGGCCATACAGAGTCCCTGTGTAAACTCGTTAGTGGGGTTTGAAGGCCTGGAGGGCTCTGTGAGAGCCAGCCCTGGCTTCCTCCCCGGCTTCACCTCCCACCACACTCGCTCTCTAAACTAGCCTTTCATTCCCTTGAATTCACTGCCCCCCACCCCGAACTCTGCCCCCTAGCCCTTACCCATGCTCTTCTCTCTCTCTCTCTCTCCAGAGCACTGTTCCTCTTCATCTTCTCTCTACCCACCACCCACCCTGTTAACTCCTACATTTTCTCCAAGTCTTAGATCATTTGCCAAATCATAAGACCATTTAACATTTCCTCAGAGCTCTGACTTCGGTTTTTAATTACAATTCATTCTTTTCATTATTTAATTAATGTCTCCCTTTACAACCGGGCTGTCAGTTCCATGATAGTATAAATCAATGTCTTGCTCACTGTGGTATCCCCATGTCTGGCAAAATGCCTGGTGTCTAATAGGCACTCGGTAAATATTTGTTGAATGAGTGAATGAATATAATCTAACTATGTTTGCTTGACTGTCTCCTTCACTCATCTCTAAGACCTTGGGCGATTCCTTTTTCCCCCCTAGACCCAGCACTTAACAAATGCTTGCACATAATCAGTGTCCTGTGGGTGACTGAATACCAGGCCAGTTTCTTCTCAGGATCCTTCAGTGCAGTGGTTCTCAACCTTTCTGATGCCATGACCCTTTAATACAGTTCCTCATGTTTTTGACCCACAGATTGAGAACTGCTAGCAGGATCGCCTAAGACCATCGGAAAACACAGATATTTACATTATGATTCATTAACAGTAGCCAAATTACAGTTATGAAGTAGCAATGAAAATAATTTTAAGGTTGGGGGTCACCACAACATGAGGACCTGTATTAAAGGGTCGCGGCATTAGAAAGGTTGAGAACCACTGCTCTAGTGGAAGTGTGTTATCAGGAGACTTAATCCTCAGGTGTTAATAGAAAAACTAAGCCAAGAGCCTAAATGCATTTTAATTGGATTAAAATTAGGCTAGAATATCCCATTCTCGGTTAAAAAATAGGCCCAACCCTGGGTCCCATGTTGTAGAAGATACTTCCTTACATCTTCAAAAGAAGTATTATGGAAATTAAGGATCTAAAGGAAGATTTCAGACCTTTGGTCTCAAGGCTAACTTTTTTTTTTTTTTAAATAAATTTTTATTGTTCATATTATCACAATTTATTTTTTTTTATTTTTTTTTTATTTTTAATCTCACCCAGAGAACGTCTGTGTGGTCTGGTTTTACTATTTTTGCCAGGGAGTGTCAGGATGGCAGGGACCCACGTGACAGCCTCTGGTGAAGGAAAGTCTGCCTGAGGAAGGAGAGACAGTGTGTCCTTCTTCCTCTTTCTCTTCTACTCCACTCTCTGTGATCTGTACCAGGTCTGAGGTAGGAGCATCACCATAGCTGACTGGCCTGGGATAGCAACTCAGCGTGCTGTTCCCAAGCCAGTTCTGTTCCCCGAGCTGAAATCTCATCTTCCAAAGTTGGCAGTAAATCGTGGATGTGGCCTGGGATGGACTTGATAGTGGTGTGCAAGTGTGTAAAATCCAATTATTAAATATTCAGAAATTTTGTGAGCCAGTTGTTAAACTATTAGTAACTTGATATCAAACCTGGTAAGACTATTTACACCACAAACATTGGCAAATACTACAAATCAGGGCTTTTTTTCCCCTTTCTATTTCTATGCTTTATTTATTTCCCTTTTGTTCTTCACCCTCCTCCACCATCCCCCTTCTTTCTTTTCTCTGGTAGCTGGTGTACTGTACCAACATACTACTGAACTATGGTGTATGTCCTGGCCAGACAATTGCTAGCAAATTACGCAGTCTTACAGTCTCAGTTTCCTCATCTGCAGAATGAGGTTTCATAACAGCAGCTATTGCACAGAATAGCTTTAATTGTTAAGTGATAGTACACAAAAGGTGCTGAGCCCTATACTTGAAACCTTGTAAGTATTCCATAGAAGTTAGTTTGGTTGCAATACTCCATGTATCATATTGTTTAGTTTTGTCAATCTGCACTATTCATTTTGGGTTGGACAGATTTGATTTTAAACATTGAGTAATATTTTGGCAATATTTAAAAAATATTGCTTTTTATATAGGTTAGAAATTTTCATTATCACTTATATGTAATGATGGTCTCTTTTCATTTGCTTGGGTGCTAAGTAGGATATACTAGGAAAAACAACATTTCATCTTTTTTTGTATGTTACTGTCCAGGATGACAAAGAACCTAGGGTTCAATAGTCTTTCTTGTCTATTCCTTAAATTCAGATCCTTTCAATTCTAAAGAACCCCAAGTCATTGATAAACTATGTCCTGGCTTCCAGAATCAAATATTATTTGAGGGAGATCAATATGCATACTCTAGAATGCCAACAACTTATATTCAGTACCTGCCATGGATAGAATCCTGCAGCTATCCTGGAAATTTAAAACAGAAAAAGGAAAATGGAAAGCCTGAAATCCCTAGTCCACAATTATAATATGCCAAAGACTCTGAATGCTAGAAGTTCTTTCCTAACTCAAATTGTGGCAACACTTGACCCAAACTCTCCTCCGACTAAAACCTGTATTCCACTTTGTGTTAATAGTTCTATTATCCAGTGCAGAATTAGTAACGTGTTTGATTGATTACAGGGCACTGTCCCAAACCTCACTGGAGTTGTTCCATAATATGCAATATATGTACCATACTGCCTTTCTAAAATCTCCAAAATTCTGATTCTAAAATATATCTACCCCCAAGGCTTTTCAGATAAAGGGACAGTGTCTGCCTTGAAGGAGTTTACACTCTGGCCACATGAGATTCATCAAGGCATGCTTCAGAAAAGAGGAGCCTAGAAGCCTGGACCAAGTAGCTGGCAGGAGTGGGGGTGGTTGTAATCCAACTGTAGCGCCAGGCAGCTCTCACAGCCCTTAATGAAGAGCAGAAACTCTGAGAAGACAACTCCCACCGCTAAGGATCTTCTGCAATACCCCGTATTTCCTCCCTTAATTCTGGGTCTTTAATTCTCTATAGTCTGGCTTATCTACTCCCAAAGCACTTCTCCCTGTGGAGCACTGTTCCATCGGAGATCAGGAGTTCTTTCAAGAGCTTAGAGAAAACAGCCTCCACTCCGAGAGGAAAAATGGTGCACTTGCTGGCAGTGGCGTGTGTGCTCTGTTCTGTCTGAACTTTAATGGTCTCCCCTCATCCCTCTTCCAAAGCATCCTGTAGGCTCTCCGCCATCCTGAAGAGCTGCGCACATCTTAATGGAAATATCCTTCCTGCAGACCGATGCTTCAGAGCCTCGGGGCCTGGAGCCAAATGCAAAGTGATTCTGCAGAGACAGGAGCAGCGCTCGCCCCTTCTTCCAACCTCTCTCACTGATGTGGCGCCAACAATCTGAATCTGTTGTATAGGTTACAATCTCCAGAACCAGCCTAGCAAGCACTTTTCTTTCTTAGAGTCTGCAGACCTTTCAGCTCGTAGGAAGATGGCCAGTTTGCTGTCTTTCTTATTTTTTTTATCTTCAGATCCAGAAATTTTGGCTTCTCCAAACTCAGTCTTTTGAAGAATGTGTTTGTTATCTCTCTGAAAATGCCAAGAGCTTGTTCTTCATGTTTCCCAATAGCCCGCTCTGTACATACCAGAAATAATAAAATATGTCCAGAAATAATAAAATAGTAACCTTTTCTTGAACATTTACTATGTGTCTCATACATTACTTTAATTCTCAAATAAATTCTGTTAGGTAGGCATTGCTTTTAATTTTTTTCTTTATTTTATTTATTTTTTGTTGTTGTTTGTTGTTGTTTTTTTAGTCTAGGAGGTAAATGAATAGAGTAAAATTTTCTATTCAGTCACCTACCCCAGCTGGTTCAATGTCCCAACCTTTAGTGAACAGAAAACACAGATGCTGCCCTGAACTGAACTTGAGGCATTTGCTTTCTCAGCCCTCACTCTGCAGCTCAGGACCAGAGGCGCAGAAAGCTTCAGTCATTTCCCCAAGGTCAGACAGTGAAATGAATGTCAGAGCTGAGGGACGGTTTTCTGACTCGAGAGCCCATGATTTTAATTGCCAAGAATTGTGGGAAAGAGAAGAGAAAGTCCATTGGAATGAGTAATCCTTAGCTTCTCTATTCTTTTTGCCCCACCAACTTCCATAACTTGCATAGTCCTGTTGACGGTGTTCTAAAGGAGATACTTGTTGTCATTGAATGGAGTCTGCATGTAATGTCCTATCTTGGCACACGACCATCCTCTTTCACAGCGGTGCAGTGACCTCTTGATTGCCACTCTCTTGCTCTTCCTAAATCGCCCAGCGTCACCCAAGTCCATCTTGACCTTTGTCACACTAGAGTCACTTGCCATTGATCATAAGAGAGCTGGGGCCAAGTGCGGGACCACTGGAGGTGTGTTTGTGAGGGGGTGCTATGTGAATGGTCTTACTTGGTTGGAAACACCATGAAAGAGGCAAGTTCTCACAACCTGAGAGTCATAGACCTGGGTTTTGGCTCCTGCTGTTTCACTAACTCTTAGTATGACCAACAAGTCATCTAATATCTCTGACCCTCTGCTGCCTCGTCTGTCAAATGAAGCTGCTGCGAGTACTGATATGGTCAGGGGCCACGAGGAAAGAACAAGGCAGGCCCAGGAAGGGCCCCGCATACAGAGAGTGTCCAGGAAATTGAAGGAATTGTTGTTAATGTATCAGTGTGTTGAATATTGACAATTTGATAGCAATTGGGCTTCTACAAAGCATTTTATGTGAGTAAACAAGCCTCTGCTGGTGCCTGTTGTGTAGGCACCACATTAAGCACTTTATAATCACTTTGTATTTGCTATTCCTTCTGGTATACGGGTAGATGCCCACATGCCCTTTTGCTCCAGCTGAGAGAACTGTCAGCCGAAAGGCTGAGCAAATCTGTTGTTTAGCCACGAACGAAATCCTCAGCCATGAGCAGTCAGGTTACTGTGTTGCCCTGTAGGGCGGCCTCATTTCCATGAGCCCCAGGCTCACCAAAACATTAAAAAATAGGGAGTACAGACTTCACATTTCTGCCAGACAGATGATGGCCAGGCATCTCTGGAAGAATGGTTAGCAGTCCTGGCCTGCAGGTTCGGGCTTAAGGTGCTTGGATACGAAGGAGGAATGTAAACTCCATAGAGCTTATTTCACACGTCAGAGTCTATTCTGGTTCTTGAAAGTGGGCCCAGAGGCCCTGCTTGGGCAGGTCCTGGAGCCACATTCCTGCAGAGGCATTTAGCAGCATGCAGGGATCCAGTGGGGGCAGGGCCCAGGGTTCAAAGGGGCCCAGTGAGAGCCACAGCCAGAGGACAGGAAGAAAACAGTCACCTGCCCCAAAGCCAGCCTTCTAGTGACTAGTTTCTGGAACGTCTACATTAGACTAGTATAAGCCTTTCTTCCTTTTATATTTTTTTTCTTTTTAAGGACTTCGGCTAATTTTAGAGCGCTTTACTTGCCAACTCTCTCTGATCTCTCTTGGAAAGTCCAAAAGCGGCCATTCTCCTATCCGCACTGCTTGCCCAGTTTCAGCACGCCCGGCGGCTCACGTGGTCCTGTGGCCACATCTTTGGTAGTCCACACACAGCTCTGCACACAACTCAGCTGCTGGCAGGAACCAGGCAGAGTTTATGGGAAGGAGATGGTGTTTGAAAAGAGATGAGCTGAAATCTTACATCCAAGAAGCTAAATAAGAAATAAATCTGCCTCGGGTATCTAGCATCTACAGGGTGGTGCCCATTGCAGACAAGATGACATTTATCAGGAAAATCACTGGGATAGGTGGATGCTGATAACCACGACAGCACACTCATCTGTCAAACCTGGCCTCTCAGGGGAGTTTTCCTTCGTTTTGGCAGGTAGCTCAAGGCATGGTTTCAATGCCTCGTGATTTCCCTCCTGGTTTATTTCTTTTTTTCCCTCACTGACCTTTCCAAGCCATTTATATTCCCCACTGTCCACTACTCCTCTCTCATGTCTTATATATCAAAGCACCACTATATTGGGTGGGGTTGTTTGAAAAATGGAGAATTATTACGTTATTTGCCTTCGAAAGCAGATTAGGCAACAAAAGTGAGGAGAAATGTCAGGGTGACTTCTGCCATGCTTTCGCACATAATTGCTCTCCGCTTTTAAAGATTCTACATTCCTGGGCTCCTCCTTAGTTCAAAGGGCTCCTCTGGAATGTGATAAACCTGGACATTTAGATGGGCCCATGGGGGAGGGCAGGACATTCCCCAATGTTTTTCATGGTGTTGTATTCTTGAGCCCTCCGTGGTATAAATAACTTTCTATAGGTCTGTTCAGTAAATAAAACAATAAATAAATGAATAGGTGTTGCTCTTCAAAATAGCCCTCCATAGGAGTTGTGAAATTTCACATTCTGTAGGGAGTTTAATTGATTTGATTTTCAAAAGTAATGTTTAGCACTGAATTTTCAGCAACGTGACTATTATGAGCTTCCCTGAGTCTATGTCGGACCCACCCAACTATCTAGGATAGTTCTCATCATTTCCCCATCCTCTTCCTCAAACCCAAATTGTATCTTGTGTAACATTTATGATTCTTCTTTTGTGTTTGTTTACTTGTTACTGTCTCACTTCACTACACCACACACACACACACACACACACACACACACACACACACACCTGTAACCTCATGAGGACCCAAGCCAGGTTTGTTTTGCTCACATTATATGTCACCACCTAGATCTGTGCCTGACACATAGTAATTGCTCAGTAAATAATTAGGAATGGATGAATTTAAAACGTCTTCTCAAAAAGCTGTTGGGTTAAAAAAAAAAAAAGATTTACAAAAAAAAAATAATCCCTATGGAAAAGGGTAATAATTAAGGTTAATTTCCGTTTTCTGCAGATCCTTTTCAGTTTGGTGAATAGTGTTTGTCTGAGGATTGTGTTTGCCAGAGGAGGGGGTTGGAATCACTGGTCATCCATATAGTGTGTGAGGCCTGCCACTTTCCCTGCTCTCTTTATCTACCCTTTCTTCATATATTTATTAAATGTTACTCAAGTATATGCCAGGCATAGTAAAGCAGGGGTAATAGTATACCTACCTCACGGATTACTGTGAGGATCAAATGAAATCATTGTATTTAACAATTCTTGGCAAAGTACCTGACATATTAAGAGCATGGAAAATGCTAGCCATTAACATTATCATCAGAAATATTCATGGGAGCAATTCTTATGTACCCTCTGTTTCAGACTCTCCAGAATAAGGAGAAAAGATACTATCTAAACCACCAGGGGCTTGTGGTGATTTATGTCATCCGCTTTCTTTCCATAACATCTGCTTTCAGAGCAGAGAGTTATATGGTGTCCTCTTCATTTTACAGGTGGGGAGGGTCAGCTAGCCAAGGATAAGAGTGAGGAAAGTTTTGAATAAAGACTCACTGCATATTACTGATTTTTCCCTTTTACCTCAAGCTCATTGTTTGACTTGGCCCAGCACTGTTACTGATCCTGTCTTTTTATCTTTTTAATTTGATATTTGTTCATCATGGTGTTTTTTTTTCCCCCGAATGAAATTTGACTTTTAAAAATATTGCATTGAAATATAATTTCTGAGTAAATTTTGCACCTGAGGCAAGTGCCTTCCTCAACTCGCCCTAGTTCCAGCCCTTTTAACTAGTGTAAGTTTCTCTAACCTTTCAATATTGAGCCCTTTGACTCTAGTAGAGTTAGCAAAATTTAGGTACTTATTATTCACCCTGTGCAGTTCACCATCAACTCCTGTCTGAACTTCTGAAACGGCTCCCTCTTTTGTTCTAGGCCCCTCCGGTCATTTCTATACTCAAAGCCAGGAGGATTTTTAAGAAGCCTATATCAGATTGGCCACTCCCTCTTTTAAAACCTACTGTGGCTTTCTATTTTCATAAACCCTTACCGTGGCCTACAAGACACCATCTAATCTGGTATTACCTCCTGCAACTCCCTCCCTTTGCCCATTGCATACCAGCCACTGCTGTCTTCCCTGGGACCCTTGACCCAGTGTGGTCTTCTCCACATGGCTGCCTTCATACAAATTGCTCACCTTCCAGAAATGCCTTTCCCAACACGGTCCACTGCCTTGGCTCTGACTCACCTTTCAGATGGCAGCTGATGCACCACCTCCTCAGGTCTACCCTGACCTCCTGACCTAAGTTCTGTCCCCCCCTCTGCCTTCATCATTCTATTATTTTGTTGCCTCCTGTTCTCTTCCTTTCCAACACGTCCCATCATTTGTAATTAATTAAATACCCACCCATGTATTCACTTGTCTGATTTCTATCTCCCTCACTAGACCGTCAGTTCCCGGAGGGCCATGTTTAGCACCATCTTCTCCTCAGTCCCTAAGCAATGCCTGGCACAGAGGAATTGCTCACGTATCTGTTGAGTGAATGAGGGAGAGAAGGGAATGAGTGAACAAATCCGTCTTCAGCCTGTATAGTCATGACCTAAGGATGCTGCCACACACTGAGAGACTTAACTTCCATTCTGCTCTTCTAAAGCAAGTGTTTTCCCCCTAGATTATTTTTATAGAAAAATAAAAGTGAAGCAAATATAGAGATAATTATTGATTCTCACTCACAAAGTTCCTGCTTCCTATCACCAACATCCTCCTGAGAGCCTGCTGCAGGATTTTTGGGAACCACAGGAAATAAGTCCGCTAAGCACTTGAAATGCCATTATGAAAATAGACCGGACTTGACCTTCCTCCTGTGGAAGGGCCTCTCTCCTCAGGGAAAACCTTGCAAAGAAATTTCACCTGCTCTTAGGTGCTTCCTTCTTCAGTCATCCTCCCAGCAGCATTATCTGCACATAATCAGAATCCTGTTCTGAGATTGTCCCCCCACAGCCTAGGTCATTGCCTGTGCAAATTGCATATATATATATATTCTGATTATTTATAGCCTGACTTTGCTCAATACATTAGGATTTTTCCTTATTAATAAACACAAATCTAAACCTCCATTTGTAATGGCTACATAGGGTTATACTATGTGGACATGCAAAACTATGTCCATTAATCTCCTCTCATTGAGCATCTAGGTGGGGACTGTTTGTCAGTATTGTAGACATGGGCCTGGCACTTGCAGCCTCAACACTCCTCCAGGGGGATTCTGATGCACACCCAAGTGTGAGAGTCCTGGTCTGGGGGAGTCTTGTTTTCTTCATCAAAGAAAGAGGAAAGGAATTCAGCCTGGAAGGGAAGGGCCAGCTTGATTATTTTTGTCCCTTTAGCAGAGGCACTGAAATATCTCCAAATCCACTCTCCTTGTTTTCTTTAAAAGCAGGAGCCCAGGGGACACTGCCCATTTTGATATGTTTATTTTTTTCTCTTTCTTTCCATTACTCATTTTCCTTTACTGAATTATTGTTTGTCCCTACTTGGGGGGAAGGAAAGAAAACAGGTGAGGCGACGTGGGTGCAGGCTCCAGGTGCTCCTCGCCCAGCTCTGCGTGTGGGCTTCCTGTCTCTGCAGTGAGAGGCCCCGGCCTCCGGCAGGCACCCCAATGCATCTTGACTTAATTTGCGTGGCTCCAAGGTTCTGTTTGCTGTGTATAGTAGAACCTGATGGGAAGGCCCAAATCTCTCTAAAATGAGCTAGAACCAGTTTGGGAGAATTAATGGGCATCTAATCACAATATTCAAACCCATGATAAGATGAAATTAGGCCTCCAGGGTGAGGAAGGTCACCTGGCTCAGGATTTCAATGAGATTCTGTCATGTTTGTGTTTCTCTCTGCCTATTATTCTATTGGTGAAGTTGTTCCCAGTTTTTGAAGATCTGAGTACTCATTCATTCACTTGACACATATTTAATGAGTACCTACTATGTGCCAGGCATGAGGTATATAATGGGGAATGGGACAGACTGAATGAGGCCCTCTTGAAGTCCACATTCCAGTGGGGAAGACCCACCATGAAGGGATTCCCAGTGAACGGAATGTCACCGCGGTCAAGTCCAGGGCACCATGGGAGCCAGATAATTGATGACTTACAAAGCCTGGGAGATGGAAAGACTTCCTGGAGGAAAAGGCATTTATATTCCCACTGAAGAGGGAGCAGTTATCAGGAAGAGCATGAGCAAAGGCCCTGAGCCTAG